TTCTCCTCGGCTTCCCTCAGCTCGGCTTTGGCTGCGACCAGCTTCTCTTCCGCCGCAAGCAGCTCATTCTTGGCTTCCTGCAACTCACCCTTGGCCCACACGCAGCTCATTGTTGGCCACACGCAGCTCGGCCTCGAGGTCCGCCTTCTCGTCCGCAGACATGTCGGGAGCGTCGCTCCGCTGCTCCAAAGTAATCACGATGCCCCTCTTGTGCATGACAATGCCACGCAGCTGCGTCACTTCGCCACGCAGCTGCGTCACTTGGCCGCTGAGCCCAGAAACGAGGTCGGCCGCGTCGGTGACCGCACGCGTGAGCACGTCCACCATAGCGGAGGACGTCTCCAGCTTGGTAGCCGCCATTACCACAGCACGGGTGAGGAGGAGGAGGGGTGAAGACGGGTCGGAGGTGAGGCCGCTGAGGCGCGAGCGGAGACACGTGGTGGAGTCGGCGGTCGCGCCGGCGCCTGCGAGGCGGACGACGCCCTGTCCCGAGCTGGTCCCGAGCTTGAGAGGACCACTTTTGTCCTCACGGGTCGAGCATCCGTTCGCTCACCCTGACGGCGCGGCTTGAGGGTCCGAGTCGGAAGCCGGGCCGTGTCGCCATCCCTGCGGTCGTCCTCCGAGTCGCCACCGCCCGGAGCGGCATCTGCTCGAACGCCGTGCTTCCGGGTGGTCTCATCGCCATGTGGCTCGCCAAGGAGGGCATCGTGGGCGTTGAGGGCAACGGCTTTTGGCACCTCACCTCGGCGTCACGCGTTCTGCTACTCGCGCATGAGGGGCCACGACATAGCGCTCCACTTCCCCATCAGCGAGCGCGTCGCGCTCCCGTGCATCGCTCGCCTCAGGCTCTCGTACCCGGTCGTGTTCGATGCCGGCTTCCCCTCGCTCGACGCACTCAGGCTCGTCCGTGAGCTATTCTCCCAGGTCACCGTCTGGTTGAGCCAGGAGAACGTCGCGAGCGAGTAGACTGGCGCGGCCGTCCCACTCGACCACTCGATTCGGCGCCCGTCGGAGGCGCGAGCGAGATGACCGAGAACGGCGCGCCGGCCCTCACCCTCAACGTGCCGCTCCTCGACGTGAGCGCCCGCATCGTTC